CTGGCGATGCTGGAGCTATGTGAGCTATAGTCTAAACTCCTTAAAGGGGGTTATATAGGGACTACATGCGGGACTACTATAAGGCTTATTAAGGGGGATACTAGGAGTTTAGACAATGGCTCATGCGGTGTTTGAATGAATTGACATTGGTCAAAACAGCATGTTCTCCCACCAGACTAGGACTTGGATCTGCCGTCTCAAGGTGTAAATGCGCGGCTTCTAGCAGCTGCGGCCGTGGCAGTTTGTGATGCAAACCTGGAGGGGTACCTGCAAGGTGGGCAGCTACCACAGATTTGCTGAAGCTAGCAGTTGTTTTTGCAGATTCAGGAGACGTTAGCAACCCGCATAAGTCATGCCCGATGAATGATGCCGTTTCTATAGATGCATCAAGACAGGAATTCCGATCATAACTCATAAGCTTGCAGAAGAAAGTAAGTTTTTTCGGGTTCAAGGCCAAAAAAGCAGCAGTTTTTGGGAGGTGCCGCAGCAAGCCTTCGAGCTGGTGGGCCGTTGCCCCAAGCCGCAGCCCCAGCGCCGATCTTGCTGCAATTTTTGAGTGCGATTCGGAGCTAAGCAGTACGAAGTCGGTGAATCCTACAGCTAGTGCGGCAAACATTTTTTTTTGTGCTATGAACACCATGCGCGCTTGGCCACAAACTTCCCTGTTGGTCTTTCAAAGCCTGCAATTGTGTCAAGTCCAAATGCTTACCCCGAAGCCGAGGCTCCGGCGAGGTGGCCATTCCGTGAGGCGGGCAGGTGTGGTGGACTATTCGGTCATGTTTGCAGACCCCGGGAACTTCAAGATCCCCCCCAAATGCAGCGAAGCGAGATGGCGCAGGTGGTCGGCTGCATTGAAGCTGCTCTCCGTGCTTGCAACGGTGCGCCACGGGTTAGGTGGGTTTTCCTTGCATGTCTATTCCAGCTGCCCAGCCAATTTGTCGTCGGGCATGAGCTGCTTGAAGATGCTTTCTTGCACCCTCACAACTCCTGTATAACGTTGTGCCGCCTTCAGGAGAGCAAGCTGCCCTTTTACGGGTCGAGCTGGCCTGCTCTTGGGACTCCACCATCAAGGCCCTTCTTGTGCAAGCCACGAAGGGTCTGATACTTCTGCTGAGGATGGGGAACAAGGGTCTTTTCGACATACTCCTTAAACTAGTTTTACTTGGTGACCCTGCGTTGTATTATTTCAAGCTTCAGACTTCCCTAGAAAGCCTCCTGAAATGGGGTTTAGAGGCTATTTATGTAGAAGCCCTGTGCTTTGCGGAGGCGTTTGGTCCTTCCAAAGCTGCTGTGACCATTCGCCTGGGCTACTTGCAAGCCAGGCGCCAGAAGGGGTTTCTTGAGATGGGGTACTTCGGGGCTTCCCAGGGTTTAGAGCATCATGATAAGAAAATCATAAGTCACTAGGGTTTATATAAGGAATAGTTTGGGGCATGCTCAAATTGTCGTCCAGTCTTTGAGGATTCTTAGGGTCTTGACGTGAGTGGGTACAGCGGCTCTTGACAGCTGGATGGATACGGAGGCACAGGTCACATACCTGGTTTTGTTACTTCTTGAACATGTGCTGTCTCCAAGCCGTAGCTGAAACTTCCCCAGCGTAGCAAGCATGTATGCTGGAAGAATCTTGGCCCACTCCCTGCGGGATCGGCAACATAGACAATGCGACGACTTGGACTGAGGCAAGCTTTGCATGCATTTGCACCATCGTCGAGGCCATCCAAAGAAGAGGCACCCTGCAGGTCTACCGCGCTCGCATGAAAATTGTTGGCCCGGTGGGCTTCAAGTCTGAACACCTTGGCAAATCATGCCTAGGACCGATTCACAACCCCTACTTAGACAGCAACTGCTGGTGCTGCAACTACTGCAACGACGACTCTTGCTATAGCTGCCACTAAATGTCCGACTCTTTGGACAAGCCGACAACGACTGCTAGTAGGCCTGCTCCTTGTCCTGATTATTATGACTATGACTTTACGCTTAATTCCAGGCTTCAGCGATGCAGCAGCGCTTAGAACAAGCTGCAGGGTCCATGGCCGTGCTGCTGGGCGGCAGGTGTGCGAAGGCAGAAACCAAGGATTCAGAAACCTGCGCTCTTCCGACAATTTGGGTCCTTGCAGACAGAAAGGACCCATGATCATGAGATAACTCCGATGACAAGCGCAGCCGCAGTTTTGGTCTAACAGCATTCATGATATACATGTTCCAGTGATGATGATGATGATGATGATGATGATGGTGGCGGCAAAGCTGACAAGACAGCCCGATGTAGGGCAAAAATGTCGATGCATGAGGATCGAGCTAAAAAGGGGATGAAGAGTGCCAGGTTTGTTCTGTAAGCATGAGGCAGCCTTGCCTAGCAATCCTTGAACCTGTTAATAGTATCCGCTGTAGTATCCATAAATATCCGTAATAGTCATAGGGATCGTGATAGCAAGAGTGCGAGTACTGTAGCAATAGTAATGGTAATACTTTTATAAGAATAAGTAAGAATAAGATCTAGCAAGAAGGATTCTGGTGTTGATAGTATGATTTCCGTTGGCAAATGGTCACAGCCACTTGAACCATCAGCAGCCATTCCTGCACCTATTGCTTCTCCCAATCTTGTTATTCTGGAATATTCTGGATCTGTTTTCATGTTATTTTAATCGTCGACGCGAACCTGCTTCGGCAAGGGTAGAGGAGAGCGGCCTAGCAAAGCTCCCCAGCTCGCACGCACCCTCCCAAACCCGCCCCTGAAAAGCAGGTTTTTTTGCTCGATTATGGGCCTGAGACCCACACCAGCCCGTGCGGAACGCGGCCGACCAGCCGAACCCTTCCTACGCCACCCCGAAACTCGCAAAAAACGACCACGAATCATGAGGTAGGGGAGGGTTGACTTACTCTCCTCGTCTCCGAACCTGGATCGGAATGCCCCAGGCCTTTGGCCTCGGCGGATTTAGGGGTTTCCCTGAATATGGGGTTAAAATCGACACCAGCTCTCTTCCCTTGCTCTGGGTTTGAACATTGCAGTTTTATGCCCTCAATCCCTGCGCAAGCCTTACAGAGTTGTGAAAGTAAGGGGCCCCCCAAATTACCTTGTTCCTGCTTTCGCGGCACAGTGAAAAATCCAAGGCCTCAGGCGCCCGGAGAGGCCAAAGATTCACTCGCAATGCTTCTGTCTTTTCTGGAAGGTTGTCAAAATTATGGTCCGTTTTAGGATGCACTGAAAGTTAAGGGCTATATCATACAGATGACCACAAAAAAGGGAACCACAATTTTGACAACCTTCCTGCTGAAGTCAGTTGACACCTGACATGTCAGTTCACACCTGGCCCATGTCTCAGACTCCACAAAGACCGCCTACAAAAGGATCGGCGTCTGACTGGGGTTCCGGCTCCGCTGCCTGCCAGCGTCCGCCCCCGCCACATTGGCCTCGTGGCGCGAAGAATCCCACTGCCATCATTTTGGGCATTTGCATGTCATTTTCCTTCTGCCATCGCCCAGGAGAGAAGGTTGGCCCGCTTGCATGTGTTAGGGCGAGAACTTGATAGGAAGTGCCATCTCATCAGCTTAAACCTTGAACCCTCGACGAAGCGTCCCCTATCTACCCAGAAATCCTGTCTGAGCCATAGTCTAAATTCCTTGAAGGGGGGACATATAGGAGATTATATGCTATAGGCTATAGTGGTTATTAAGGGGGATACTAGGAGTTTAGACAATGACTATAACCCCGAAAAAACCACAGTTTCCATTTCATTCTCAATTTTCTTTTCCATTTAATTCTCCATTATTAAAGGGGATACTAGGAGTTTAGACCCTAAATCCTAAATCCAAAACCCTAAACCCTAAACCCCCAAACCCTAAGACTATAGCTCATATGAACCCAGGCCGGGCCGAAAGCCTGGGGTATGGTTGGCATGCTGCGGACTGGGCCCAGAGGCTGAAGGCACGGGAGCTCAGAGTTTCAAGGGATCTAAGCAATATTATTGTAATCTACTACAATCTATTATTCCATACTATAATATACTGTAACATAGTATAACATATTATAGTATACTATAATATACTATTACATATTGTAATATACTATATAGATTATAATGTATTATAATATATGGTGCCTGAGCAATCCGTCCCGCGGAGGGACGTAGACGTTCATGTTCGCGAGCATCCGATCACAGACCAACGATGCTCAGACCTAATGACGTTCATCCACGACAGCATATGCCTATCAGAGCATCCATGCCCAAACGCTAGTAGTGTTCCTCCCCGAGCATACGGCTACCCCTGCCCAAACCACAATAACGTTCATGTTTGAAAGTTCTGCGCATCATTTGCCTCAAAAAGTGAGCAAGAGGACGCCACAAGAAGTCCGAGCTTGCCCATGCGCGCAATCCATGAATCTCCTGCGGTGGCCTGTATTTTCAGCATCGTGGTACGCCTGCAGACGCTGGCAGGCGCAGTGCTCTCCCACACTCCTCATCAATGAGCCCCCTGAAAGTCAACCTGGCAAAGAATTCTCTCACAATGCAAAAACCTTTTTCAGGTTATGCCATGTCGTGATGCGCCCAGGCTCGAGGACCACCTCCGGTTCTCAGCTTGAAAATCATCGTGCGATTTTTTCTAAAGCACGCCCCAGTTAAAAGCAGCAAAAACTTTCAATTTTCTCCAAGTGCCTGGTCTCCTGAGCGTGCCACCATTTTCTACATAAGTATGTTCTGTCCAAACATACTTATTTTCAAAACGCTAGGCATCTGTCCTCCGCGACGGGAAGTATTTACCAATATCATGGTCCTAGATTCCTTGTATAGTCATGGTATCGGGTTCTTAGGGATTTAGGCAGTAACGATTTGGGAGAATATGAAAAGACAAACAAAGCTACAATATTATATAGGTCTTACAGTTTAGGATACCGCCCCGATAAAACTTTGGGGCTTCAGGGCCGGAGACTGAGAGCCTGATGATGCATGCTGTGCGAAGCTTGTTGGATCACATATTTTAGGGTTGGCAGAAGGGATCTGATGGCTCTCCTGTCCCGCTTCGCGCCATCTTCCGATGTGGCAGTTCCTGGCCAGCTGAGCCTTAGCAAGTTATTGCTGCTTGGCTTCGGAAGCCTGGCAGCTGGTGGCGCAGTCCTTTGGTCGCTCTCCAGGTGCTTCAGGTGGAGTCGCCCAAGGCAAGTGCGCATTGCCAGCCTTTATGTTTACCCCATCAAAGGCTGCAAAGGGCACCGGCTACCCAAAGCGCGTCTCACAAAGTGGGGTTTGGAAGATGACCGTGTGTACATGATCGTGAACGAGAAGATGGAATTCGTGTCGCAGCGGGAACTACCCAAAATGGCTCTGATCCATCCAGATGCCTGTCATGCAATCCCCAAAGTATTCAGGAAGTGATTGCATTTCTGACTCACGGCCCGTTAAGCTTTATGAGCTTGTTGTGCAAGGACTTGCCGACCGCAAGTGGCCTCAAGCTGCGTGTCGCTCCAGAGGTTGGACAGGGGGTGGAGCCCCTTCTGGTGCCGTTGAAGCTGGATGGCCCTGAGAAGAAGGTCCGCGCTCCTTGCCACCACTTTTGCCTTGCCGCGATCTCTTGGTTCGGTGATGTTCAGTGGAAATCAGCATGCACGTAGCTATCGGGGAGCGCTGCTAGGACTGTAAGATGTTCCTTGACGGCGCAGCAGGAGTTTAGGGCTTTGGGTTTTCAGCTGCTGTTGTGCCGAGCAAGCCAGTTACTAAACAGTACTGTTGCTTCAACACTGGGCTGGTGCTGCAGTGAATCTTCAGGTTTGGGAGGACTGGGTGCCCGCAATCGACCAAGGCCAAAGCAAAGCTGATCTTGTGAGAGAGACCGTATTTCATGCCAAGAGCTCTGACAGGTGATGAGGTTTCAAAGTGGCTCTCGAGCTTCCTGCGCACTGATGGCCTGCGGCTAGCAACTCTGTTGGGATAGACAGATTTTACATGCTGCATGTGTGTGGTCTACAGAACAGTACTGGGGAGACGGGCCAGCGAACTTTATTCCAAAGAGAAGGCCAGCTCTATTTTCAGCCAGCCTGCCACAGGTAAGAATCGCCAAAACGGCACAGCGCATCACCGATCCCAAGTATGGCACTGGGGAGACCGCCTTCTCAGATGGCTTTCCTGTGCTCGTTACCTCCCAAGCTTCCATTGATGCGATTCGCAGGAAAGTGCCTGGCTCTTTCAGTGTCTGTTTTGCAGGACCTCAGGCTTTGTATGTAATGATCGTATGGCTTAAGTGTCTTTCGTTGAGTTGCAAAGTCAAGGTGCTGAGGGAAGGTGGCCCGGCCGTGGGAATCGAGCGCTTCCGGCCTAACATCCATGTTGAAGGGTGTGGGGCATTTCAAGAGGATGAAATGCGGTCCCTGTCTCTGCCTGGAGTACAGCTGCCGTTGGTGAAACCGTGCTCCCGATGTACCGTCCCTGGCATTGACCCACAGACTGGGACCAGGACAAAGCAGACTGGCGGTGCGGTCACGAAAACCTTGAGGGAACATCGTTCAGGACAGTTGATGGCCAAAAGCGCTGCGCTGCATCAAGCCTTCTTCAGCGAGTCCAAGAGGGCAGATGATGTCTACTTTGGACAGAATGCACTAGTTTTTCTGGACAAGGCTGTCGGGACGGAGATAGCTGAGGGTGACCTGGCAGCCGTCACTTGGTAGCTCCCAACAATTCGCAGCGCGAAGGACTTTTCAAGACCCGCAGTGTAGCGCTGCACAGAAGTGACGTCATAAAGCCTAAGGCAGTCATGGCGTGTACTTTGGGCAGAAAGCCCTGCCTTTGTTTAGCAACGTGGAGCTGCCATTCAAGCGTTGCCAGCCAGCCAAGAGAGCTGCAATTGACAGACGGGAGGACTAGAACTCGCAACAGGCGACTATCTGTATTTGGTTCGTGTAAACACAGGATTTGTCACTGTTGTGAGGACTTGCTGGCTGCTGACTTTGACTTCAGCCAGCGGCCTTTGCGCCGCTTGATGCAACAGTTCAGTGGTGGAGTGAAGTGGAGTGGGCTTGGGACACTTGTCTGTGTGCTTGGTGCATGTCTTCCAGGCAGGCATTAAACGCCACGATGCAGTGAGATTGAACATCCAAGCCTTCCTTCCGCTGCCTTTTGAAACATCCAGAAGTGCTTGATATGCAGGCCTCGTGACTGGCTGCTCCGGTGCCGAGGTGGGATAGGTTTGCTTGCAATTGCCTCCCAAACACGCTACTAGATCCTACTTGCCAGGGCGTTTTGAGTTTTGGGAAGTATAGCTGAGAAGTCTCCATGTATGACAATCAACTGGAGTTGCACCTGCGAGGTTGTTGAATCTACCAAGAAGTCTGCGCGCGCAGAAAGACCACACTTAGTCATTGATCCGAAAGCAGAAAAGCAAATGCTTTTTTGGCGGTGTGTATTGTAAGTTTATACCCGAAACCTTTGAGAGCTTGGTACATGAAACCTTTGAGAGTTTGGTACATGAAATTCGTGCTGCAAGGCGCCGCACTTTGCCCTGCGCCAGCTTGTGGGCCATCAAGGTGCGATCAGGGCAAAGATTATTTTGCTTTCTCGTGTTTGCTTTGGATGGCTGTCGCTTCACGAACTTCATAGTCTGAGAGAAGACTTGGAGTTTGGAGAGTTGCAGTTTACATCATCCTTTGATGTCGAGTGCTCTCCTTTCAGAACGATTTCCACACCGCCGTGCCACCACAAGGCTTTGAGGATAAACTAACGAGCATGGATGACCAATGGCCTCTCATCAGGCTTCCAGCAGCTGTTTGGATCTGAGATCAATGAGAACCCGAGGAGGTTCATTCTACGAAACTGTGCCTTGGCATGGCTCATGCTCTAAGGAGTTCTGAATTCATGGTTCCGTGTTCCGGGTTCCAAGATTGTGGAAGTACATGAGAGGCATGAGAAGCCCTGAATATGTCACATGTTGTCTGGTAAGGATCGCTACAGCTTGAGGTGCTGTGACCTGGCAAGGCTACAGAAGGCTGAACAGTTCAAGAAACTGAGGCAATGCCCAGCACTTGTTTGAGGATGTGATGTATGTTATGGAAGGCGGGGCTTGTTCTGTGAAATTCTCTGCACAGTCGATTTGGGCAGATCGGTAGCTGATAGCGCTGTCCTTCCTTCATTACAGGCAGCGGTCCTTGTGCTCGTCATGGGGGTCGATGCCCTGTTCCGCGTGGAGAGGTTGACATTTTCGTCGGGGGTTTTCCCTGCACCCCGCATCACGGCTAAACTGTTAAGCTTGTTGGTGCCGTCTTAGTTTGATCTCCTCCTTGACTCAGGTATTCCTTCTGCAATCCGAAGCGGTTCAAGAGGAACTGCTTCACTGAGCCTGCAGCCGCGCCCTTCTTCGAGATGCGTGGCTTGTTTGCAAGTGCCTTTCTCAAGCAGCTAGTGCTCCGCTTTGCGCTCTTGTCAGATGGGACCATGTGCCACCAGAATTAGTTGTAGTGAGCCATGCTGGGGGAAATTCATGGACGTTTGTAAACGTCATCACTTGAGCAGTACCTTTTGGGACCGGCGAGAAACATGGTAAGCAATCTTGGCAAGGAAAATTCATTGCGGAGAGGCGGCCGCGTCTGGTCATTCTTGAGAATGCTTTGCGCTCAGTGAAAAGATGAGCATGCGTGATGGCGCGGGAACTCATAGACCGATGGCTGGTGCTCTCCAAGGTAAGAGGTCTGCTTGCTCCGAATCCGGAGACGGAGCACCCTCCCATTGACTTCATCCTGAGAGGTCGAAACCCTGCCACTAGATCTGCACAGTTGGGGTCAGATCATTTTCTCCAAAAGGTCCTTGCGTTCCTTTTTTTTTGATGCGCTCAGGAGGCCTGTGCTATAAAGACATGAGGTGAGGTCCCACAAACAGGTGGCACTCCTTGAGCAAAACCTGTATGCCTTCATGCCTTTCAGGATGCATAGCCAGCCAAGCACCACGCCCAAAATGCTGAGACCTCCCAACCTGCATCTTGTAAGCCCTGCAGCGAGAGAACGCATCTCTTGCTTTCTTTGGAGTGTCTTTGGTGAGGAATTCGGAAGGTAGAGACCTGGCATGGGGACGTCTGGGGATATGTGCAGAGGGGTTGTTGCATTCGACCTGGTGCTGTTGTTCAGCTGCTGCTACATTCGGATGTACTTCATCATGTTTTGCCTAACACGTCGTCTCCTGAAGAAATGAGTCGGACTTTCTATGCTACGTTTGAGCTTGCTTTGCTTGTTGAGTCTGCTCCCTGTGCATGGTTCCGTAAAGCATTGGAATGCCTTTGAGCTTCTGCAACATGCTCAGCCCGGTTGCAAAAAAGAGACCTGGCAAGGAAAATCCAGAAGACTGCTACCAGGGCACTGCGCCCAACGCTGACTGGGGCCTCAGCCTGATCGAAGGCTATGGGCTACGCTGGGATATCCTGTACTCCTACGAGTCCAAGATGAATTCATTTCATGCTAGGTCGTTGTACCGATTTTTGTGGAGCTATGGCAGCACATGCGCACGGCAACCATGACCACTGGTGGCAGTGACATCAGTATCTGCGGTGGCAACAGCAGCAGCAGCAGGAGAAGACGCAGAAATATAGGAAGACTACCAATTCTAGTACTGCCTGCCTCCATAGGTTCTTGAACAGGAGCATGTGCGCCCTTAATGTGCTGATGGGTAGATGCTTCCAAGGATTGGGGTCTGCCACAGAGCCGCCCAAGAGCATCTTTGCTGAAGGAAGAAAGTACCCAAATTAGTTATATGCAAGCAAAAAAAAAATTTAACTCGCGACTGGATCGTGACAGGGCTTGCTACCAACCCTGTCCCATGGGTCCTTCTCGGCTTCCCTCTTTTGCAGGATATCAGATTTGTGGGAGGCTGGAGATTCAACTTGCTCAAGGATTTGGATGCTCTCTAGGGCTCAGGAAGATAGGACACTGTGCTTGGGAGCCTTGGAGCCTCCAGGCAATGGCGTCCCAGAAGTCAGCGGTCTTAGAGTCAACCTCGCGCTGACTTCATTTCTTGAATCGGGCAAAGTTGTACCCTCATTTCAAGTCCCAGTCTTGGTCACAGTGCTCGCACAGGTGTACATTGTCATGGTTCGCGAGGATGCAGGTGGCCAGAAAGCCGCGGAGCACATTTTCGAGGCTGATGCGATGCTCTTTACTCTGCCTGGCTGCTGTAACAGTTCAGTAAGATGGAGGCTGAATAAGTTTCTCTCTTTCATGGGGTTTGCAACTCTGAATACATATTCATGAGCTCTCGAGCCTCAAGCTGAGATGCAGGTACTGAGCGCATGTGCTGGTCGTCTTCCTCGAGGTTCTTGTGGCTTGGTGAGGAGACGGATAGCTTGAGGCGAGCCCTCATACAGAGGCAGCCCAGCAGGAACGACAGGAGCACCTTTAGAAACCAGGGCAGGGCTGCTGGTAGCTGCAACAAAGAACAGATGATAACACAGCAAGGTCTGCCGGGCCAAGTTGATGCAGTCGTGCAAGCTGAAATCACAACCGCTCCAGCAGCTCAGGCAATGACTTCCTGTATCCTGATTCGCAGCTGCACAGCCTATCAGAACTGTAGCTTGCATCATAGTTGCCTTGGTTGCCTCATTGTGCGGCAACCCAGGACGATCATCCGAAGCTGGAGCTGGCAAATCAGCGAAGCCTGAAAGGCGGAGGCTCCATGGCATCCAAATCAGGTAATCCAGCCTTGATGGCATTGACTCCGGTTGTGTCGACAGCTATCATGATCCTCACTTGCTCTAGTGGCCGGTAGCATTCGTGTTCACAGGCCCCTTGCCCTAGAGGGGTTTTGCAGTCACTCCCCAACTGCGGACATGCCAGGGGGTCTATGATTTTCAAGCAAAGGTGCGGTGACCAAGGTTCGTTCACGCCTGTTTTCACAGAAGTACGGGACGCGCGCGGGCATACTGGCGCATACCGTAGTTTGCATCTCCATTTAAGATTCTCTTTCTGGGGACGCAGCAGTTTCCAAGAATGCAATTTCGCCTCAGCATAAGCACCCGCCGTGTAGCTTGCTTTTCCGGCGGTGTAGATATTCTCCACTATTTCAGGGGGCACCTGCCATTTGCCAAAAAGACGCCTTTCCTTGAACCTCCAGTTGGTCAGCGGCGACCTTGCACCAAGTTCACGGAGGCCCTGTTCAGGACGAGATGGGGCTGGCTGTGTGCTGATAAGGCGGCGTTGTCTGGAGTGCCCAGCACATGCATCGCGCGTGTTCAGCCTGTCCTTACTGGTGGTTAGTAGGGAAT